CCTTACGCGCAAACCCAATTGTAGCAGAGCAACCATCGAGAACCTCGTTTTCATGCTATTTAGGATAAGATAGAAGAATAAATGGCGCACCACTAGCAGACGGGTTGTGTGAAGCGATGACGTCGGCGACAGCAGTGGTGCCCGACGATAATTAGCGAGAGCTGCTAAAGCGGTCTGTCCCTGCTTATTCACAGCCAGATGATTCGCCCCACGAAACAGAAGCACTCGAGCGCAATCAGGCCTGAAAATGAATTTTTGGAATGATTACATATTTAACAAGTGATAATGATCTTTTTTGATAAGAGTGGAAGCATACGAACAAGCAGGGCTTGAGAGCCATGTATTTTCTTACAGAATGGATCTCAATGCTTTCCTGATGTCCCTTTCATGTGGCCAAGAAAAAAGTGACTATTCTTCCTATTCAGTTCAGCCAGTAGAAGTAAATAAATTATTGTTGAGGGGAAGGGGCGGGGATGAGTGAGAGGAAGGAGGTTCACGAAAGAAAAGGGCTTCCGCATGATCAAGTCCGCAATATGAACATTTTGAAGAATCTCTGGAGATCTTCTTCAAGAAACTAGGAATAAGTTCTAAGCCGATGTCAGACTTGAACGAATCGCGCGATTGCTTAGCGCCCCGCGGCTCGCGTTCGGTAGCCAGACAATTGAGAAGTTCAGTGGACGCGACGTGACCGCGGGCGCTAGCGAACCGCGCGCATTCGCAAAGCCTGACATCGGCCTAAAGCTTGCCAGTTAAGGTATTAAATGAGTCCTCAGTACCCATTCCTAAAGAAGATCTTGCACACATGAGTGAAGGGGCGGGATAGCTAAAATTCTATAGAAACTCGAGAGAGCCCGTTACATCGGGAATACGAAATCGAGAATACCCCCTCGGTCAAGCGGTGGTCACTTTGGGAAATTCAATCGAAATTTTTTTTGAATCTTGGACGGCTCGAGCGAAGGTCGACTTCGAGTGCGGATCAAAGGCGATTGTGAAAGCCTTGGAAAGCGAAGAAATCAAGGCAAACAGTACCGATTGTTGACTGAGCAGACATGTAGGGGAGTGTTGCCGTTCACATTTTCCGCGTCCACGACGGCGCCATAAAAAAGAAGATGCTCGACGTGTTTGGCCAATCCGTTCTTGCACGCCTGGAAATCATTGGTAGTTGTAATAGGCTGGAACTCGGAAAGAGCTCCCCATAAGGGAAAACACTGAAAAAACCAAACGCACACGAGCTCTCCGAGGGAATGCGAGTTGCGTGGTTGAAGTGGACTAGTTGTAAAGATACATGAAAAGTCAGGTAGTTGCTAAGAGGGACAGAATTCTGGACCATACCAGAACCAATTACGTGCTTCTCATGTGTCATACGAGGATGCTTGTCGCGCGTTTTTCGTGGGTAATTTGAGCCGATCAGCGGACTGTTGAAGGCCATTTAGCGGACCAGAAAGTGACACACACACGTCTGAACACGCATGGATTTACGGGTTGTGGGCTAAGAGAAAACAGGAAATAGCTCTATAAACAATCCATAAACAAGGTAAACAGAAACTGTCCGTTGGCTTCTTGCCGTGTAAACAAATTAGGGCTTCAGTCATGGCTCTATAGCATATTCCCAGTACTGTTGAAGTCTAACAGAGTGCGCCTCGCATTTCAATTCTATTCTGTCTTCGAGTTGACGCGATACGTCACATGGCGAATACGATTCGAAGTCGCTTTCCGCCCTCTGGCGAAAAAAGCAGAGCCAGCCAGTGCCGGCAACGAGCGCTACGACCGAGAAGAATGCTGTCAGATGGAGGTTCTCAATGTCCAAATAAGATCTACTGCGTTTCAAATCGCAGCCTTTAGTGATAACATTCGAAGAAATAGAAGTAGAAAAAGCAAGAAGTCTTCAAGAAGAAAATATGGGGATGGCATCTGAACATTAAATTGGCTGAAATGTGAGATGGCAGTCACGTAAACTACGATACCCTTGTCATGCTCTTGCGGTGGCATCAGTCGAGACATCACGTTATCTTGAAGGCATGCCTCGGGATCAAATTGGTGTGGCTCTGCACACGAATACGAATGTATTGGTGCGAAATGGGCCAGTAGTAAAGAAAAAGGAGGAGATTCGTCGAAAACGCTTAGGTTAAGGGCATATCACCTTCGTAATAGGCTGCGCTAAGGCAATGAGAGACTAACGAGGAAGGTCTTTCAGGAATTGCCCAGCTTTCTCGAAACGGTTTTGCATGATATAGGGGTACATGCACGGAACGCAGAATTGATTTCCCCTGAGCGACCCTCTGAACACCAAAAAAGGGGTGATGAAGTGGTCCGTGGTTCGAATCCTCTGAGTGAAATTTTTTGTATTTTGCGTTTCAAGAATTTGCGAAAACGACGTCAGCGTAAACAACCTATGTCATAACTATACTTGGGACAATCACCACCATTTGTACGTAGACTTTGGTTAGAAGGTGGTGAAGAAAGTCAAGAACGGCAGTTCCTCAAGAAATTCTCCTTCAGATTTTCGCTCAGGAAAATAAACCGCAAGCCTTTGTTCCATGCACGCACCCCTATATCATGAAGAAAACCGTTTCGTGAAAGCTGGACATTTTCTGGAAGACCTCCCTGGGAAGCGCAGAGAGTAGAGTATTAGACGAGATAGGTCAACGGATGAGAGGGCGCCAGACAACGGGCTGATGAAGGAAGAAGACATTTCCCACCTTCACACCCATCTGACCCTTTTGCAGAGTCTTAATGTTCTTGTCCGGTGAATTCGGGGAGGAATGCGACTTCCTGCGACTGTTCCTCTAGGTCGTTTTCTCCAAAGAGCCAGAAGCCATTCAGTCACAGTTCTGGCTAGGCTTTGCTTTAACATAAGCCATACGTTACAAAATGAAGGACTGAGTAGGAGCAGCAAAGATTGCCCGAATGAGTATCATGAACTTCGATTCGATTGCGTAAAGGTACGAGTCTCATGTCATGCTAATACGGACTCAAACAACGTCTGCTACCGCCTTGGAGAAGCATCTGAGTGATTGGATTGGGTGAGAACGAGGTCCTAGAGTGCGTACCTGACGCGCTTGAACAATAAATGTGGTTTGTTCCAGAGTTTATGTAAAAAGACAATAATTTCGGATCACAGGCTAGGACTGGTTCCTTTGCTGATAAAAAGGTAATGAGAAATAGCAAAAACGCAAATCGATTTGAATTGCAGCTTTCATTGTTCTTTCAGTTCTACGCAACGACAGAAAATAGCTGGCTTCTGAGGTTTTGAGAAGAACTGGGTGCAGGGAAGTATTAGGAAGAGGAGAATCCAAAATGTAAACTCAAAAGGGGATACAAATATAATGAGTGTCGTGGACAGCTCCCGATCAGGAGAAATGGAGATTTCAGAATACGCATCCCCTAAGCGAAGTGTCTTCGGGTGGACTCATCCAAGTTCGAGCAAGTGTCTAATTTTTTTTAAGCATTTTGAGGCACCAAGACCAGAACTATGGAACATCTTTCGGAGCAATGTTTCCCCTTGGTATTCTCGGCCAGAATGGTCGATCAGATACTGAATAGAACAGAGAAGAAATTTTGTGACAAAATGAAAAAAATTGAAATGAAGAAACTAAAATTCATGCTTCGAAATTTGCTCCAACTGCGAATTATTTGTTTGACCCAGAGAAGCTCCAAAAGTTTTATTCCAAAAGAATTCCAAAAGTTCACAAAAGTCCAAATACTCCAAAAAACAAGCCAAAAAATTCTAAAAGAATTCCTTTGGAAACTTCCGCGATATTTCTGTGTATAACACCTTCTTTTTTTCATGCAGAAACATTGTAAGCCTGAAGTGGAAAACCTGCGAGAAGTTTTGTCTCAGATGACATGGCTAAGGGATTTGTACTTCCTTACTTCTAATAGACGAGAAACTTTTGCAGGGCCAACGCCATGATTTTCAAAATGAAATATCCTCACTCAGCACTCGAATATGTGAGCTGACTACGACTTGCTCGTCTATACTCACACCCATCTACACACCTCCGCGATGGTTCCTCAAAGAAATACTCAATGCGAGGGTCGACTCAATGGCAAAAGTCAGAATCAATTTGGGGACCTATGGTGCTTGAAAATGATAGCAAAAACGAGAAGAAACCATCAGTAAAGCCAAACAGTGAATCTAATCCCTCCTTAATAGCACCGAAATAGCCCTGCGTGTGCTCGCGTGTCTGCACGAGTTTCCCGAATACGCTTTCCTAGTTTCATCTGTACTGCTTTTGAAGTGGATAGAGCGTGCTTGATGGTAACATGTATTTCGAATGTAATACTATGTATCTCGCGAGGATACCATGCTATGTCACTTTTAGCGATGGGCGTTCATAGCCTAAGCTAGGCGGTGATAGCTCGAAATCGTGGAAAGGGACTATCATTACTGCGTGCTTTCAAGTCACGAGAGTGGCTTCACCACGGTAGTTGCTCATTTACCCACAGAATTGATGGAAGGGTTCGATTTGGCCGCCTTATCCCCACCCGTGTCTTTGAGAAGCTCTAAACAAGAGCCTTTGAACTAACACACGTAACCCTTATTCAAGCACAATTATTTACGTTCAATAGCGCATTTTAGTCGCTCACAACATATTCTGGGACCCGAACATCGCAAGCGTGTCATGAACTTCTGGCTGTGGTTGTCGCCGCTCTTTGCTAGTACCGAGTTTATGCTATGGGATCAGATTCTGCTTTCATGCTGAGCCGTTATGGATAGATCTGCGTTCATTTTCTATCGCCATTTCATTTCAGTACATATTCGAAAAGAGGTTTTATCATGTCATTATTATCTTGTGCTCTTCTGGTTATTATTAACCTCCGAAGAAAATTTGATCCAAAGTAGACTGCTATAACGTTCGCCAGGCTTTATGTAGCAAAAAGAACCACTCTGGGAAGATGTTATTCGTTCAAAATCAAGGCCGATTCTGTGGTAACTGTTGGTTGCGTCATGATTCAAACGCTTCAGAGCTCCAAAATGTTGAGCGAATTATGTCAACAGGTACGAGATACCAGTGTGAAATTGAGAGGAAGAGAAGGTGGAAATGTTGAAAAAGATAATGGAAATGTACA